GGGAAGGGAAGGAAGGGAAGGGAGGGAGGGAGGGGGGGGGAGGGAAGGGGAAGGGAAGGGAAGGGGAAGGGAAGGGAAGGGAAGGGAGGGAAGGGAAGGGAGGGAAGGGAGGGAAGGGAAGGGAGGGGGAAAAGGAAGGGAAGGGGAGGGAAGGGAAGGTGAAGTGAAAAACGTTGGTATGTGTGGGTGTCGCTGTGTGTGAGTATGCATGGATGTGTGCAAATTGTTCTTCTGTGCGTATGCGCGTGTGTGTACGCGCATGTGCTTGTGCGAACGTATGTACACGTCTGGGTACAGTCGAAGACCAAATAATCTACTGCGTCCGAGGCGACCTGTCCTTGTTTTACAACCTTACTGTCCAGCACCAGGCAGAGTAACAACAAGTACAGTCAATTTAAGAGGATATTTTTATGTTTGAAATGTAAAGTTACACTGTAAGCTGAACTGTAATCTTAGCGTCTGCTTAGCCCAGGGATCTAGGGGGCCGTAACTCGCTCTGCAGATTTGCATCCCTTTGCAATAACTTCAATTGTGTGGTCACATGGTGTTATTCCGACCTTGGTGAAGGTCGATTCCTAGAAGACATGGCCGTTGTGCCATCATCTTGATGTACCATCCTTTTGTTTTTACTCTGAAGGGATTGAAGGGAAGGGAAGGAAGGGAAGGGAAGGGAAGGGAAGGGAAGGGAAGGGAAGGGAAGGGAAGGGAAGGGAAGGATGATGGATGACAACGCTAAAGTACTTTTTTGTTTTTAGACCTCGCCGCACTCGAGCCGTCATCGCCCATTTGCAGAACATCGAAATATTAATCCTTCCACAAAGAGCCCCGATGTGAAGATCCACCCTTGAACATCCCCCCATAGACAAGCTGTTTGACTATCGTGGACTTAAGGTTCGAACTTGAGATCCTCCTGTTCAAAATCGGCAGGAATTGACTAAGGCACTCCATGAAGAATCACAGAAGATTCCGTCACTGAACATTCGATGCTTGATTTGGAGGAGACTGGCAGAGGTCGCCAGTTGTGTCTCATAATCACAATATACATTATTTGAGAACTGTGTGGCAGTCAGACTGATGGTGTAGCCACGGTGAACGTACTTTCCTTTTATTGTTGATATTCAGGTTTTTGTGTATTCCTCTCACATTGCAAGTAAATTGTCATCAAATTTCAAAGTTTTTGTATTTTGTTTTAATCAGAGTAAAACATCCTGTAGTTACAATTTTAATATGCTGATTTTGGTTTTCAAAGCGTGCCCAACAACTTATCATATCGAAGGGGCGGTGGGGTAGCCTAAAGGTTAAAGCGTTCGGGTCACACTGAAGACCCGAGTTCGATTCCCCTCATGGGTACAGTGTAGGAAGCCCATTTCTAGTGTCACCCGCCATGATATTGCTGGAATATTGCTAAAAGCGGCTTAAAACCATACTCACTCACTCATTATCAGATCGAGAAATGATTGGTGCTTATTTATTTCTTATGGGTACAGATAATATCAGTACTGATATTTTCAAATATATAATATGAGTTTTGATATTTGCAAATAAATATCATTATTGTTTTCAAGGTAGTTGAGGTCGGTGGAATAAGGTGAGGAAGATGCCATCTGTCTTAATGGAGGACCCACATTATCAACATCTAGACGCTAATTTAACACGCCCTGACGGTGACATTATGCAGACTCACAGGGGGTAAACACGTAAACTGAAATGGAAATTAGCAGTCTCCATTAACACTACACTGCCACAGTGGGTGACCCACCGAGCACCTGGCCCCATATGCTCTGTATGTGTTATGTGTTTGACCCTTTGTTAGCCTTGCTCCAATGCTGTACTGAATGCTAAGCCCATGGATGTACTGTAACTCTACCCTTCAAAGAGGCAGGTCCAGATAAACGGACAGTACAGTACAGTATTCTTAGAGGAATATCCATATATATATCAATTAAACTATAGATTATTAACTTAGAGACTTGTGCAAGTCTAGCCCTTTGTATGCAGGCACCCAAATGTGTCCAACCTAATGACTAATTGCTGTGAAAACGAATTAATTCCAAAGTCGTCCCTTATACACATTCTTTTAAGATAAATTATTGCCTACACAAGGCAAAAATATCATTTAACGAAAATACAGAGGTTATAGTATGTAATCTAAAATCGAAAATGCATTTAAATTTATCATTAGACGCGAAAATATTCCTACTGGTACGGACTATCTACATAGTGGGCGGTGGGGTAGCCTAGTAGTTTAAGCGTTCGCTCGTCACGCCGAGGACCCGGGTTCGATTCCCCACATGGGTACAGTGTGTGAAGCCCATTTCTGGTCTTCCCCGCCGTGATATTGCTGAAATACCGCTAAAAGCGGCCTAGTGCTTAAAGCGTTCGCTCGTCACGCCGAAGACCCGGGTTCGATTCCCCACATGGGTACAGTGTGTGAAGCCCATTTCTGGTGTTCCCCGCCGTGATGTTGCTGGAATATTGCTAAAAGGGCGTAAAATCATACTCACTATAAATAGTAATGAGACATTATACAATCTAAACAGCTATGTCATCAGTGATGCTATCGACTTCTCAATCATGAAGCATAATAGCAGACGGAGAAGATATTTAGCTATCTGAAACAAAATAAATCTATATGAACCGTGACAAGTTGTGAGGTTAAGACTGAACCGTCATAACAGATGGTAAGATTAAGAATTTATGAAACACGACGGCAGTGACTTGGGGAATATGAATCTCTCAATCGCTATAGCATATGGGTTGTCCAGGAAAATATCTAAACATATATGAAAGTTAGATGGGGTGTATGAATGTCTGAAGCTCTATAGCACGTGGTTTATGTTAAACACGATATCAGATGGGTGAGGTTAAGAATATCTGAACATATATGACAGTTAGATGGGGTGTATGAATGTCTGAAGCTCTATAGCACGTGGATTATGTTAAACACGATATCAGATGGGTGAGGTTAAGAATATCTGAACATATATGACAATTAGTTGGGGTATATGAATGTCTGAAGCTCTATAGCATGTGGATTATGTTAAACACGATATCAGATGGTGAGGTTAAGAATATCTGAACATATATGACAGTTAGTTGGGGTATATGAATGTCTGAAGCTCTATAGCACGTGGATTATGTTAAACACGATATCAGATGGGTGAGGTTAAGAATATCTGAACATATATGACAGTTAGTTGGGGTATATGAATGTCTGAAGCTCTATAGCACGTGGATTATGTTAAGCACGAGATCAGATGGTGAGGTTAAGAATATCTGAACATATATGACAGTTAGTCGGGGTGTATGAATGTCTGAAGCTCTATAGCACGTGGATTATGTTGAACACGATATCAGATGGGTCGAGGTTAAGAATATCTGAACATATATGACAGTTAGTTGGGGTGTATGAATGTCTGGGGCTCTATAGCACGTGGATTATGTTGAACACGATATCAGATGGGTCGAGGTTAAGAATATCTGAACATATATGACAGTTAGTTGGGGTATATGAATGTCTGAAGCTCTATAGCACGTGGATTATGTTAAACACGATATCAAAAGGTGAGGTTAAGAATATCTGAACATATATGACAATTAGTTGGGGTATATGAATGTCTGAAGCTCTATAGCACGTGGATTATGTTAAACACGATATCAGAAGGGTCGAGGTTAAGAATATCTGAACATATATGACAGTTAGATGGGGTGTATGAATGTCTGAAGCTCTATAGCACGTGGATTATGTTAAACACGATATCAGATGGGTCGAGGTTAAGAATATCTGAACATATATGACAATTAGTTGGGGTGTATGAATGTCTGAAGCTCTATAGCACGTGGATTATGTTGAACACGATATCAGATGGGTCGAGGTTAAGAATATCTGAACATATATGACAGTTAGTTGGGGTATATGAATATCCAAATCACTATAGCAACTGGTGAGTGTGAGAATATTTGAACTGTGATAACAGGTGGTGAGGTTAAGGGTACCTCAACCTCTTTATCAGATGGTGAAGCAGGATGGGGTTTTTGGTATCTGAACCGTGAAGACTTAGTCTGGGTAAGAAAACCTGAACCAAGGAAATGGTCACTTGGGATAAATAGCCGAAGCTATAGTGAGTGAGGTTAATGGTAGGTAGTGAGGTTAATGATATGTGAACCGATGGTGCGGGTATGAACGGACATACATGATGTTGATGTTTAGACTATGTGAACCACGAAGAAGTGCTCTAACAGGTGAGTTTCAGGATATCTGAACCGATGCTGAGGGTTAGAGTATCTGAACGGCCATATGTAGATTATGAGGTTACATTTATCTGAACCAAGATGACGGGGTGTGAATGTCGAAGCGCTGAAGCGAGTCCGATATAAAAGTTTATCAGTGTAAAATAATTGTATGCCATCACATTCGAAAAAACGAGTTGAAATATATACACGTAACATGCATAATTTGTCTTAAACAAAAAATAACGTTCATGGCTGGAAATTCATTAACGTCAGCAGTTTCAAGGTTAGCAGTCAGCGAGAGATTACACATAAATAATCCTCAATCATTACTGGCTGATTTAGAAACGACTAGTATTACACAAGCTGTAATCTCATTCTTTTGTCATTTAGTCGGTTATTTATCATCACTCAAAACCCTGTGTTTCACACCAGGCTAGAAATAACCGTACGGAACTCAAGCATTGCCGACTGGGACCCCTCCCTCTCCTATTGTCTGTGTCCATGGCAAACCGGAAATCCTCCCATATTTGGAAACAGTGAGCCATTGATAAATTTCCCTGCGTTTCGTCAATAACATTATAGCGGTCTAGAATCGGGAACTTGTGAAAAATCAATAATTTATTCTTCGCGTCACATCAACAACCTAAGTTCCTTGCTTACGCAGACGATACGAACAGCCAATCAACAGCCAGGGTCCTGTTGACGTCACGACTTTCGAAGACGGGAGAAGCATTTCGAATCGATATTGGGACCGATTCCATAATTAGTCAGTAGTTCCCGACTGTTGCCGCGCACGGCCAAACGACGCCATCTTGGAAGTTAAGGAAGGAATATGGCGTGAATATTTCAACAGGCTGAAACCATTTTTGCTGTGTGACATCCCAATATTGCCGAGATTTTTGTGAATTTTGTTCCATATTAACACAATGCCCGTTCAACAAGCCGGACATCCTCTTCAGCATAGTAAGTCTTCTATATCGTACCTCCGTTGTGTCGGAATGTCCTTTCCGATTATGGCTTGCCACTAGTGGATGTTTTGATTTTCAGATTGAGCGTGAATTTGTATCTAGGAGATTTTTGACAAACATTCAGTCGTGTTAAATAATACATATCTAGTTAATATCACCCTTACGTGTCGGACAACATATTATTTCTTCTGTGATGATTAACATACGTAGGTATGTTTGGGGAGTACCGCTGTCCCGCATTAAACAAAACAGAAATTGTGGTTCATTTTTCAGCATAACGTATAGAATTTGAATTCGTTCTTTCGTAAATTGGTACTTTTTATAAACCCTTTATGAGAACATCTTTTTTTCACATGAATGAATTATTCAATCCTTAATATCTGTTTAAATGGCAAGGTTATTTGTCATTATGTCGAATACGAATTAAAGATTAAAGAAATTACAAACGTTCGTCAATATCGAGTTAAGTCCGCTGTAAAATAATATGATTTACTGTTATTCAAGTTTAATGTACATCAATGATAGTCTTTGTATTATTGTCCCCATGTCGTATTCGGTGGGTTCTGTTTCACCGATACTGATTAGGAAAATCCTCGACTATTTGTTCGGATCACCTATCATCTGTAACACACATCCAACCACCCTTTCCTTGTGTGTTATTGAAATACAACCTGAAAGAAGATCTCATTAAAACAGGTTCCTGCAACTGTCCATTTTTTTATAGATTGCCTGGCAAAAGAAATGTACACTTGAAAATTGGATTTGACAAATCAAAAATACAACAATTACGAGGCTGGAAGCTGCCGATTTTTGTCTGGAACTTCTTGATATGATGATATGATATCGCCTGTGATTCCTGTATCTCGTAGATCTCTATGGAATGACCATTCTTTGTTTGTTTCACCCATAGCCGCCGTGAAACATACTTGTATACACTCTCTTGTCCGACAGTGTGCTCTCATTTGGTTGTTAAGGAAAACGGTCTCAGATAGTTTATTCATATTTTCATACTGAAAACGGTATGTTCTTTTTATGATTAAATTTTGGGTAAATTGTCTTTTTTCGGCACAATAATATTTGTTCATAAATATTCAATTAATTTATAGATAAGATGAAAAAAGTATTGAATTTTATAAAGAAAGTATGATTGCTATATGAACATTTGTTTTTGAATGATGTCACGTTATTCAGCAATGGTACTCCGATTTCATCCAACCTCGCCATGAGCAGATTATAACTACTAAAGGGATGTCGTAACAGCTTCCTACACCCTTCACGACCTGGCTCATGGCGTCTGTTGGGATATATTAACAAGACGCAGTACGCCCACGGTGAAAGGCCTTAGCCGACCACTGTCCATATGGTACTGCGAAAGTACTAAAACCCGAAGACGTCGTATGTTGACGTTCTACCAACGGGATTATTATTTGCCCGTTTCCTATTTATTGATTTAAAACGTTTTAAGATACCGAGTGTCGTTTGAAGGAATTTGCTGCGATGCTGAAATCAATATGTTGCCTTGCGTCTAAAATGGTCAGGCTGGCTTTGAACGCGACAATGCTGAATTCAGCGTAAATGTCAAGAGATTGCACGTTGTTGCGTTGTTAATCTTTTGTGATACGATACAGAACACTCTGATTCAATTGAAACAACTCCCGCAGACATTTAAATCATCGCAGAAGCAATTTGTATCTCCATGTTTTCCACAGAAACGAAATTCGTGTTCGGAATAAAATGGAATTCAATTCAAGTAAACTGACAGTCACTTTTAATTATATGATAAAGCAGCAGTGTAACTCACTCGCTCACTCACTCACTCACTCACTCACTCACTCACTCACTCACTCACTCACTCACTTACTCACTCACTCACTCACTTACTCACTCACTCTCTCACTCACAAACACCACAGCATCACGACCATCACAAAGGTTGAATAACGTTTACTGAACAGCCTACAGTTCCTTGTGCAATAGCACCAGCATCAGGAACATTATCAATGTAATCAGTCATCACTATCCGACATGTAGCAGGTCGTTTGACAAGACCACCATCCATCAACGTCAGTCCCCAGCCATGACCACCATCCCTCAAACAATCAGGGGCCCATCGCAACTAATTTCCTCCATGCTATCCTATATGTCCAACTCATACTCCGCAATATGAAAGGTGGCATCGAATCCGTTGAAATATTTACCATCCAATTGCACTTTTTGCAGTTTGTCTATCAGTGCAAGGAGCTGCAGTGAATGTGAAAGCTATATTTGCTGGCATGCTGGGCTGTAAAATTAGCCCCAAACCAGTCTTGCTTAAAGTTGGCCCAAAGCAGACTCGCCTATTGATTTCCTGGGCAATGCAAATAATCCCGCAATCAGACCAAAAACCGCGTCTTCAGAAACGAAGCCCCATTACATTACAATCACGCTGTCTCTTGTTTAAGTCAACATAACGGTTTTCATCAGATGTGGGCATATTAGCCAAACTGGCAATGCCGTGTGTCCACTCGGTCCCTGAAACACATCCTGTCGCCGTGCGACAAAATAAGCCTAATATTGTTCTGAAATGTCTTTAATCGTGGCAAGACTCATCGACGCTGATTGTCCAGACCTGTAGTCAGAGTGTCAACGAAGGTTAAACTCTTGTCATCCCGGTTTGACCATCGCGACTTGAAAGAATGGCTTTGACTAAACACGACATTCTTTCATCTTTCAGGATGACGCAGCCAATCTGTGTAAACCTTAGTTTCGCCTCTTTTTCCAAGCTGTATGAACCTGTGTCTCATCTCTGTACCAAACCACATGAACTTGTTTCGCCTCTTTCCCAAGCCGTATGGACCTGTGTCTAACCTCTGTACCAAACCACATGAACTTGTTTCGCCTCTTTCTCAAGCCGTATGAACCTTTGTCGCACCTCCTTACCTGACCGTGGACATACAGATAATAAAAATGTGGAACAATGTAACAATATATATCCCACAATTGTATAAATCAGTTGTACTGTAACCCATTGCAAACAACACTTCAGTTGCTGACACATTATTTCACCTATCTAGTTAAAAACACTTTAAACAACCAAAAGTACACTGGAATATAATGACATAGTACACTAGGCAACGCATGCACTTTATCCCTGCGAACCTTCAGGCCCAATGAGATAATACGTGTATTCGTGTGATTTCCATGGCAACCCTTTGTCAAGGAGTGTTATAATTGTATTGTACAGGGCAAATTGTGCACGGGCCTCCCTCGGGAGTTTGTTAGTGCCCAGGGGGTGATGTAAATGAACATTCTGCCCTGCACGCAACAGCTTGGTCACGTAACTATCGGACCAACCTTCCTTCAACTCCCTGCTGTTGGTCGATTTACGAGACAGTCTATAAAAGAAATGGAAATTATCCGATTTTTCAAATCAAAATCTCAGTACCGGATATCACAGGGTGTGCACATTTCAGACAAGTAGGTCAAGGTCAAGGCAGGTAGCTAGGACAATAGGTTCTAAGTAAGGCACAGAGTTATTAGGTGAGGCGCTGATTCAAATAGAAGAGCTTGTATCTGATTTCTAAAGTACAGGGTAGCACCATTGTTGATGGGATTCAAATTCATTACCAATAAACACAGTTCGATCCTGGACCTTTCTCTTACAAACACACATGCATGCCTATGTAGTACGATACTGTTGAACCCCTTCTGTTCTCTGGTATCCCCATCTCCTCACCATAACCACCTTGATTACCTATAAAACACGCTTATTGGATGGCACGGAGGGCGTACCGGTCGACCCTTAATTGTCTCATACTGTCTGGTCCTTTCTAATCAGAAATTGTCTTGGAGAACAATTCCATCAATGCCTGCTGTTAATTCATCTCTCAAAGGCTTTTCTCCCAAGCTTAATATCTGCTGATGCTCTCAGCGTAGACGGAATTCAATACGTAGACACAATGATACATTACTCGACAATGATTAAGTGTCACTAAATGCCTTCTAGAAGAACTCGATGTACAAACGTACTGACAGATAGCATGTCAGGTTCCATCTATATTTTCTACAAAGAAACAGGTGTGATTTTGATTGGCTGTCCTGGATTACGTGCAGAGATGTGCTGGAATACACCGGGCGCGTCGTGCAAGGGATGGGGGAGAGACGATAAACAGCTTACAACACAATCCAGAAACAACGACAAACAGCTTACAACACAAAATGGAGACACTAACAAACACCTTACATCACAATCCGGGAACAAAGACAAACACCTTACATCACAATCCGGGAACAAGGACAAACACCTTACATCACAATCCAGGAGCAACGACAAACACCTTACATCACAATCTGTGGACACTAACAAACAGCTTACATCACAATCTGTGGACACTAACAAACAGCTTACATCACAATCTGTGGACACTAACAAACAGCTGACATCACAATCCGGGGATAACAGCTGAACATCCGTAAACAAGGACAAAGGGCTTACACAATTCGATTTACACAATACATTATACAATCCGCGTCCCTTATCCTACCCCTCGTCAGACACCCCCTGTCTATCATAAATGTTTATCATTATCCATGTGTCGTCCTCCTTTCCCTTACATGAACAGATATCATGCAAATATCACACGGGAATGACACTGATTCTAAGGTGACAGGTGTCGAAATTCTAATTCTAATCCTATTCTACTATACACGTCTTCGACACAATTACCACAGTAACACATCCCAACTGAACAAGCCAGGAAGTTCAGCAGAAATTAACGCTAAAGTCACCACACCACTGCATCATCCGTTGTTTCAGGCGCACTCAAGGCTACCCTGGGTTGATAAAACAATGGTCTGAATAATTGAGTTCCTCGTCAGCACGACTATTGTCCGGGGTATCCGACAGAAACGGGCTGTTAATTGAATCGTAAATTCTCAATTGTGCTGCTTGATCAATGCACGGGAGTTACTACTTATATTAATAATAAATGCACGCGAACACAAATAGCTTTCTTGTAACACTAGAGGCCTACGTGAATAAAGCAGCACACGTGAACGTAGGTTTTTGTGTTTGATGAAAGGGCTACCTGCATGGACCCTAGCTGGATTAGGTCTGTAGTGATCTCCGTTCACCCCCAACATACACATACCCCCCACCCCCCCCCTAAACATACCACAGCACAATACCCACAACAACAATAAAAAGGGGAGAAAAAACTGGAACCACAGTGCAGATATTACATATGTTGTTTTCAATATGCTTCATTAGATCTTGACAACAATGTGTTAGCCCCTAATCAATGTACCAATATCTCAGACGGGTAGATCGCAAGCAATTATCCTTACAAGGGCACAGAAACAATATTTTGCTGATCGACCGATCTGGTTTCCGGTCTGTGTGTGGGTCAGTGATATCCCCAGTCCAACTGTGGTCACTCTGGATTTACCTAGTATGTTGTCAATAGCTTGGTGAACGCTGAACATGTGGAACATTAGACCCGGTAATTGGACACGGAAATGTACACGGAGAAGTCTGTGTCTGGCGCCAGTATAATATGAATACAACAAGTAAACGACTCTGATGCAGGCAGATTCCACTTGTGAGATATGAACAGTTTAGGGGACAATAACATACAATACAAGGGACTTTGAAAATGGGTGATGGCAAACAGTGTTCACAAATACACAAATAGTTTTGAGCGACAAAGATGTGAACTCTGACCGCGATACACTGTCTAATCTTACAAACTTGTGCTTCATAAAAGGTTTAAATTAAATGCTTTTGTACTTATAGAAACCCAGACTTCAGTAACATAACTAAATGGAGGTTTAAAAACAACCCCTGATAATGTACAACTACAGGCACCAGCGAGATAGGCCACCCTCTATATATGACTTTAAGAACATTAACGCTCTACAAACCTCACAAAGTGTAGAAAGTGACGTTAATTAACACTATCCTTATCCAACACTCTGTGTGTTCTTATATCATGTTAATGCAAAAAATACAACAAAAACATCGCTTGCGCCCAGCAAGTTCGGCTTCTCCGTGTAAAAAGTTACCACCAACAACAACTCCTCGATAATGCTGGAGTGGACTTTGTCCACCCTGTCAAAAGATAAATTCACACATATACGGGGACAAAATACACAACATTGTTTTTCAAACAGTTGCGTCTCTTTGAAGCAAAGATCCAGTGGTGATCTCTTGACGTTTATCCAGATGTTTGTCTAAACCTTTGTCTTGCCGCTCCACGTGAAGATGGTTTCCAGCCTACTTTGATGCGTTGCAAGGGAGATCTTCATAAGTTGTTTCTCTGTATACTTTGATGTATTCACTGCGGGGAATTCCTCCAGTAACAATTTACTCTGCAACGCAGAAGAAACAACTACCTTGCATTTAAAGTTTCCTTGAAAGGATGTTTTGATCGGAAGAACATGTTCTTGAAAGGCATGTTCACTCTTACTTAAGAGGTCAATCAATTTTGAAATGGTGTTTATCCGTGCCTAGACTGAAAACCGACCCCTCAGCACCGCCCTGGATAGCATTGATTTGGACAACCACAAGTGAAAATTAAGTTCTGTAAAGGCTTTTCCTAAACTGCCTTCTATCTCATCACAACTCTGATTACGCCTCTGAAGGTTGACAGTGTTTCTGAAAACGCGGTCCATCTAGGCCGTAGCTTCAAAGAGGTCCTAGGATAAGTTGCCAGGCAACGTAACAAATATAATTAGCACTGCTTGACACAACAGGAAACGGTAAATTAAACAGTATGTATATTCTTGGTTGACTTTGATCTGGGTTATCAGCCTGTAATCTCCGAGACTATAGTAGGAAGGGCTATGGCCCGATAATTGTGCAATAACCTGGTTCTGCTCTGATGTCGGTAAAAACAAAATATAACTGTTAACCATCTCATAATGGACACATAAACAAAGCACCCAAGCTCTTGATTGTGTTTATGGAAAGAGGGCTTCACTACATTTGGACATTATTATCATAACTCTATTTTAAAGTTGATTACTAATTTTGCTTTTCTTCTTTCATTTCGCTTTTAGTATTTAATAGCTATCTTGGATACTAGGAAAAGGAAGAGTGAGTGAGTGAGTATGGTTTTACGCCGCTTTTAGCAATATTCTAGCAATATCACGGCGGGGGACACCAGAAATGGGCTTCACATATTGTACCCATGTGGGGAATCGAACCCGGGTCTTCGGCGTGACGAGCCAACGCTTTAACCACTAGGCTACCCCACCGCCCCAGGAAAGGGAAGATGATTCAAATATATCAAAATATTTCATTCAATGAATATGAAAATTGGTTCACTGATATTTCAATATTTTGTTGCAGTTTCTAATGGCGCTATTTCCGGTATTGTCATCGGTGCCGTGGGCTTCGTGATAACAGTGTCGGTGGTGGCTTACAAATGTTACCGACGCCGTGTCATGCGCAATGCCCAGAACCGCCTCTCTTCCGCCATCAAGAAAGGGCTCCAGGAAAGCAATTCGGGCAGCATGAAAAAGAGCGCACCAGTGAGAGGCAAGGTTATTATGAAGTCTAAAGCTACAAGTCCAATAACTCCCCCTGACCCAGAAAGAGATCCTTTCCACAGAGGAACCACCTCTCCCGGCTTCTCACCAACTGGTGGTGACCCAAGTTCAATCAAAACGGAAGTGTACGTGGAGAACGAAAAAGATGGCGCCACACCGGAAAAGGAAGACGTCATGCGCGAGCATCATTTGGAAGAGAAGACGACCAAACTTGGGTCCCTCCACTTCTCTGTCACCTACGATGTGCAGAAGACTGCGCTGTTGGTCACAATGATCAAGGCGGTTGAACTGCCGCCACGTGACCCGAGTTTGGGCGGATGTGACCCCTATGTGAAGTTGCAGCTGCTTCCGGAAAAGAAGCACAAGTGCAAGACCAGGGTTCTGCGGAAGACCTTGAACCCTGTGTATGACGAGACCTTCACCTTCTATGGAATCAACCTTAACCAAATACCCGGGATTACCCTCCACTTTGTTGTTCTCAGTTTCGACCGCTTCTCCCGGGATGACATTATCGGGGAGGTGATATACCCGCTTGCTGGTGTGGACGTGAGTGAGAAGGAGGTGCCACTGAGCAAGGAGATCTCGCCCCGACATCTCAAGGTAAGGATAATGGTTCATTTAGATCAAGCATTTGTATTCAGACTCTGGAAGTATTCATATAAAGACTTGGGTGAACGTGGGCATCTCTAGTTTACGGTTTTGTTGGGTGGAATAAGAGTACCACGATAGACAGCCCATGTTATTGTTGATGAGAGACACCTATGTGCAGATGCAGACAATCTACTCAAGTGGTTTGGACATCACGTAGAAAGTCTCTGTAGAGGGTTCATCGCTTGCTTTGTTGAATCGTTTCAGGGAGACCCGTGATCGATGTCACAAATTGTCCTATTGATGAAACCGGTCCTTTTTAACTCGTGGTCATATTTTTGCGAGATTTAAACGGTGTGAAAGCTTACATTCGATTTCCGGACAGGTCAGAGTAGCTCATATTGAAGAAACATCATAAGCCTTACTTTAATCCTGATTAGCTGATCTTAAACACCACGGGTCTCATCACGATGTATCGAATCTAACATGTATAGACGCTCACATGTCATAGGATATGTATGTAATCAATGTTCAATCTAAAATACACGCCAGGCAAATGGTTTCTGGGTAAACTATCGCGTAATGCCACGAGACATGTAATTAAAAATGAATCGTGACTTCGCAAATTGCTTTTGAAGCGAGCCATATTTCATTACATGCTTTCACGTTGCCTTCACAAGAAGTGTAGCTTTTGTAACACAGCTCGGTTTCCATGACAACAGTCATGTACCTTAATAAAGACCATCACCTTGTGGATAAATCACATATATCTCATCACGTCCTGCACGGAAGTCTCATCACCCTGACACAGACATTTCCAGATATGGCTTTGATCAAAGCGGGATTTGCTTCAATAATACAAGCGCGTAACATGGTTTTAGTAGGAGGTTTGTGGAGAGTACATATCAGTCTGCCCTTTCCTCATTCATTTTTCGACCAGGTTAGAAGTGGTCTTCAGCAACCCGTGCTTGTCGTAAGAGTGAGTGAGTGAGTGAGTGAGTGAGTTGGTTTTACGCCACTTTTAGCAATATTCCAGCAATATCACGGCGGGGGACACCAGAAATGGGCTTAACACATTGTACCCATGTGGGGAATTGAACCCGTTTCTTCGGCGTGACGAGCGAACGCCTTAACCATTAGGCTACCCCACCGCCCCGCTTGTCGTAAGAGGTGACTAACAGGATCGTGGTCAGGCTTGCTGACTTGCTTGACACATGAAATCGTATCTCAGTTGCGTAGATCGGTGCTCATGCTGTTGATCACTGGATTGTTTGGTCGAGACGCGATTATTTACAGACCGCCGCCATATAGCTGGAATACTGCTGAATGCGGCTTTAAACAACCAACCAACCAACCATTCATGTTTCATATGATCTTCAGATGACATTGGAACACCTTATTGATTCCATTACATCCTGGATTGTGGGTTGAAAACAGGATATATGACGCGCTGTACTTCCGGACAGGATCTAAGCCGAAAATGCACATCAACACATTTCCATTGTGTTTTCTATCTGAGCATGCGTAACGTGTTTATTGTACTGCGACGATAAATCGACCCTTGATATATTCTCAAGTCGGGTTTATATGATGAAAGTAACTATTTCCACTGGATCCATTTAAACATTATCATTTCATCAATTCGCCTCCTCTAAACCCTGGAACTTGTCCAATGGTCGGATGCACTGCCTGGAGAGTTAAATTCAATAATTGGCACCCACATTCATACTCAAGCGAGCGAGGTCGCTCTAAATCCTGCATTTAGTTCTTCTGAAGGAGGCACTTAAAGAAATTACTTCCATTACAACTAATCTCCTTGACAGAGCCAATTGCCGCCGTTTGGGAAGTATAACTGACAAAAGAGCACGTTTCCCATGGCATCATGTCTGACGCTAGGGCACAATCCCCGCTGCCACCAATCCTTAGCTGTGCGTGGTAGCTAAACGAACGGGTAGATTAAGTGTTCACGTTTGAAGAGCTCCAAGCATTGAACATGAACTGGTCCGTATAAACGTTTCAGAAAAGTCTCACAGACATTCGTTAGGCACGCACCATTTCTTTGCATACTCAAGTAATTTTGGTTTAAGTGTTTCTTGCAAATTTGAAAATATTTAACTTTGAAAGAATTTCAATTTTATACAAAATATTTTAAATTTAATTTGGAAATGCCACGTTATTCAAATGTTTTCGTTATTAGCCCGTTAGAAATTTAAATAGCTTGTGAGGTCATTAAGCTGATGTTTGCCAGGATGTCAATATCCGTTCCAGTATGTCTGCACGTCACCTTGCACAACAGCAAAAATCAATTCCTGACATTGTGCAAGCAAGTGTTGCTGAACCACAACCAGTATTCACAAAACCATCATAAACCCATGCAAACTCGTTTACTGACCCAGGCAAGGTTTCACGACATCGTAGCAAAACAAATATTGCAGCAAATAACCTTAGAAGTCTGCGTAAGCACCTTCAGTGAACCAAGCATATTGTACATGGAACCTAATGAAATTCTGTACTCCACAACGACATCATCAAAGGGCTGACAAGATCGTCCACTTACAGGCATCTGGTCACATGGCCGGGGCTGAGTGTATGCGTATGGCTTCTTCCAACCGCAAAGTGGAAGATCGTTGTTTCCAACAACTCGCTTACCAAATCTTGTTGCTGGAGGCTAAATCTATCGATGGAACTGATAACGCTATTGATCTGTGACCTTTCCTCCAGCGCAACAGGGTGACAATGCAGAGAGCTTCCAGCAAAACAAGTCGATATAAATATCACGCCTCAGAAGCGATTGCCGCTGTAATGAATCTTTCACGAGGGAATATTTATTGCATGTTATGTACGAGAGTTGTTTCAAGGATAATGCCAGAGTGTTCTGAATGTGAATAGCTTCCACCATAGATGACTATCAAGAGCAGACAGGCATATCTATCAATAGGAAAACTGCTGCCAGGGGTTATTTCTGTGGTTTTTCATTGGTAAAGTTACAATATGGCGCATGTCTGTGACGTTCACAATTCTGGTCAAACGAAAGTCACGATACGGCTGAAATATTGCTGATGTGACTATAAATCTTAAGTCACTCATTCACTGGTCAAACGAGGACCATGGGTAATTTGAGATCAAGATCTGTATTGTTCAGTGTCTGTCTCATGACAGCATCTCATACGTTGAAGGATTATGGATGAAAATATATACACTGACGCCAACATAAATATATAATCAATATAGCCGATCTTCCTGGTCTCTTCAGACTTATAGTTAGCGGAGCGCTATAGTCTCAAGAATACATTGTATTGTAATGTCTTATCTCAAGTGATGTCTTAGATGATAATCAATGCAATACGAACTGAATATGATGTCAATAATGGAAAGAGCTTTAACAAGTAATGGGTAATTGCTTCGGTAAATATTTCATAGCATCGCAAAGACCTTGCTACCATTAGGCTGCAACCATTAAGTCTGCAGTAAATTAATGGAAAAGTCCTGAAGCGAACTATTTGAAAATATCAGAGAGCAAATGCTGTGATTTATACAAAAGCAGTCTGGGATGATCCGCCATTTGACTATGGAGTCTGGTCATGTCGGAGAGCGCGTTCTATATTTTTGAGGTATGGAGGTACAGGTGGTTATAAAGAGTGCTTATATAACTGTTTGAGTTACTTTTGGATTCACTAAAGAAGTATGAACCCTTAGATATATTTCAAAATAATGTCTCATCAGCACTGAACATACAATGTTAATATGTCACGTCTTTTCCATCGTCATTGTATACATAGCGTACTTATTTGACCGTGGCAGGGTTTCAGTGGGAGAAATAGTCGGTCAATTACTCGTTCATGACAGTTTAGAATCCTGTATTATGACTTCTAGGTAAAACCACGATTTTGCCAGCGAGGCAATACCGCAAATATAGTATTAATTCAGCAGCACGTTTGACAATTTCAAAACCTGATCTTACTTAATTAAAGCTGCTTAGTAGCTAAACCGGATTTTATTTCAAATTAGTACTTTCGAATGTCGATTTTATACCTGTAATATTCTTTGATCAATATCGAAACCCCATCATTTCTGGTTTCGAATGAAGTTTACATGTATCGAATCTACACTTGAAACCAGGTAGACGTATCCCCTAACGATACAACAAAACACCAATGGTCTCATCCGAAACATTTAGGCTATTTTCAGATTCCCCATTACCTACTATTGTGTCCAATACAATGACCTTGCTGTGCAAGAAGCAATCAACTAATGTACACTGGATGAATTGACTGCAAATTTGTTAGCACTGATAACTGTCATTCAGATCAATATTCTGCTGAGAACAAATGTCACCCTTCATTTCTGTGACGGACGAGGTTCTCAGACTATTATGTTGTCACGGTACGGTCAGGAAAACACTGCACCTGCTTCCCTGCCAGTGATAAGGAACGACAGTAGTGATTATGGCCTTCATATTATAGACTCACTTCTCTGATCCGTTACCTACTTAGCGTTCGACGTATGTTTGGAGCATATCCATAATCGGGTCATGCTGAGAAGACATCAACGGCCAGGTCATATGGATATGTTATTACGTTCTTCACGGCTGACGCTCTTCAGTATTGGGTTCTTGCGTGCGTTGATGTGTTATGTCTTCCTTGATTAATGACGGGTTGTCCTTAGCGGGGATTAGTGCCTAATGACATATTGATAAAATTATGGTATCTGTGCTTTCAGCCAGATGATGTTAATGTCTGTATAATTATAGATTATGTCCATCTAATATAGATTAAGCAGAATTTCTGCTTCTCTTCTGGAACCTTCTGTGGGATAGTTACATTTGGTGAAACCTACGTTATCAAACACACATATACGTACATATTGACAAAGGTTGATCAGAACTTTTAAAAATATTAAGAATATACCCATGCACCTAGGCGCTGTCCCACACAAGGTAAAGTAAAGTCTTATATCATGATGGGCATGGATACTTTGTATGTCTTTCTAATAAACATTAACATTAACAAAAG